TGAAGGGAGGGCAGGGGAAGGGGGAAAAATAAGAACCAAGAGAGATTACATAAAGGTGCAAATTTCCAATGATGAATGTCATTATATTGAATACCTAAAATGTACCAATACAATAAATTTTTTTAAAAAAAGAAATTGTAAAGGAAAAAAGGATGTCCTAACTGGAGATTGAGATGCTCAGCAGACCCAGCCCTCTATCATACTATAGTAGATCATATTAGCCACTGTGCTCTAGTGCCCCTTTCCTTATTGCCTCCATGAACAGGGAAAGGATCACAGGAAATCTATGAAAACATAATCAGAATTTAAAAGTGAACATCAAAGCAAAAGTCAGAATACTTCCACAGTGCCCTGACAAGAAGTGCATGCAGCCCATAAAGCAAGCTACACCTATACTTGAATCAGAGTTATGAGACTTGAACAACATTTGAAAATTCTGCTATCCTAGTTGTATGTGTATTCTAGACATTACATTGCAATTTAACTTGGCTGAAATTTGGATGTTTTTGTTTGCATTTTAGGTTTAAAACATTATACATCTATTTGACCCTAACACTATCCTTCTTTACAATATAATAAAGCTGCATGCTTCTGGTTCTGTGCAATTCTACGGCCTGGAATAGAATATTCTTTTTTTCCATTTAATTTATTGGTACATTTTAGGCATACAATACAGCTACATTCATCATTGGGATCCTGTACCTTTACATGATGTGTCTTGGTTCTTCTTTTTTTCCCCTTCCCCTGCCCTCCCTTCACCTCCTCCATCCCTCCCTGTTTACAAAGATTTTGTTTCCTTTTTTTCATTTTCTCATATTAATTCCATTCCCTTCTTTCCTTTTCCCTACCCCTCCCACTTCCCCTACTCCTTTAGACCTTTTTTCCCTATTTCACAATACCAATTATACACTTTGATCCTTATTTACACTTTAAGTTTTTCACACCAGAGAATTTATTTGGTATTTACACATGTATGTTCTATTTATTTCACTTAAGAGTATGGCCTCA